ACCAATGAAGTACTTGTTAATTCTTTCTATTAGTAGAGCAATTCATAACAGCAAAGAAAAGGGCTTCCCAGTACAGACAGTGATGTCCTTAGTCTTTTCCCTTGGAGAAGGCCAATTCATTCATTCTTGTTTTCTCTCTCTCTCTCTCTCTCTCTCTCACACACACACACACACACACACACACACACTACTTCATCCAAGGAAACCAGACTGCCCTCAGCTTGTGAACCCACAGCTCCCACTAATTCAAGCAGGAGTTGTGGGCATGGCACTGGGAGACAGAATGTGACCTGTGTCCTATTAATAAGTCCTACACCATAGGAATGGAATTTGCAGTTAACAGAAAAAGTCCTGTGTTCCAGCCATTTTCTCAAGGACGGAGAGCAGCCAGAGCCCTCACAGGGCCAAATGTTTGTTAGCAAGGCCCCTACTTCTAGCCCAGTCACCCATCATTTTGTGCTGCCACATAAGAAAGAATAGCCTCTCTCCCCAACATATTTTACTATATAGCTGTTCTGTTATTATTGGGCTTTTGAGGTCAGAGGACTCAGCAACTTTGTCCAAACCACCCTAAAAAGGTGGCTCAATGTTTAGAAGTGGATCAGCTCTACCAGAGCTCAGGATCAAATAATGCAGGAATACAAAGCAGGCTACCTCCTTTCTGCTTAACAGTTCTCATTTAGAAAGTGTGAAGGTTGGCCAGCAGAGGTGACACACACCTGTAATCCCAGCAGCTCAGGAGGCTGAGGCAGGAGGATCTAGAATTCAAAGCCAGCCTTAGCAAAAGTGAAGCTCTAAGCAACCCAGTGAGATCCTGTCTCTAAATAAAATATAATATAGGGCTGGGGATATGTATCAGTGGTCGAGTGCTCTTGAGTTCAATCCCCACAAAAAAAGAGAGTGTGAAGGTTGATATAGGTGATATACAAGCTAACCAGGGAGAAGAAGATAGGGACAATACATCAATAACACTCATGGAAATTGTAATGACACATTACATCCCACATTCTGACTTGAGTGGCTCCTCTCTTAAGCTATCACTCCATCAAGTCCAACTTACCAGCTTTGATATGTTTTCCTTCATTAACAACACTCCAAAAAATAAAAACAAATGAAAAATTTAAAAAAGAACACTTGAATATTAGGGGTTTCAGAAGGTGACTAAATAATACTGGCTTTTAATTTTTCATTCTGAATTCATGCATTCAATACTTTTCTGAGTGCTATAAATCAGGTACTGTGCTTGGCCCAGGAGGGGAAAAAAATGGATAACAGGTGACAAGAGTCTACGCGGGATTTGTGGTGGGTGTGCAAGGGCAGAGTACAGACAAAATTGTAGGAGAGTTTTGTTTTAGGCTGAAGAACAAGTGTGTAAGGTATATTGGTGATGCTTCCCCTAGTTTCTTGACATGTTGTCCTTCATTAACAACACTCCAAAAAAAATTTAAAAAATTAAAAAAGAAAAAGAAAAAGAACACTCCAAAATCAAAGGTCAAATAAATGTTCTCTCTGATATGTGGATGCTAAAATACAACAAGGGGTGGAGGGAGGAAGAACAGAAGTTCAGTGGATTAGAAAAGGGGAATGAAGGGAAGGGAGGGGTTGGAAATAGGAAAGAAAATAGAATGAATCACAAATAGCTTTCCTGCATTCATTTGTGTACACACCACAGTGAATCTCCATGTCATGTACAATCCCAAGAATGGGATCCTAATTAGAATAAGATATATTCCATGTATGTTTAGTATGTCAAAATATACTTTACTATATCTAAAAAGAATTTTTTAAAAAACAACAACACTCCAAAAAATTTTTTGGCATCTCCACAATGTTGTGGCATCAATCTATATCTGAAGCATCTCATTTTAACAAAATAAAATAATGATTCCAATAAAAGGTGCTCCATTTTTTGAAATGAATAAGATATTTTGAATAATTTAACTGCTCAAAACATTTTTAATCACAAAAGTAATGCATATTTTCCATAGATAATTTGTAATATACAGGAAGAAATAAAGAAGTGAGCAGGAATCAAGCTAGTAGAGGAAACAAATTATATTTTGGTATTTTCTTTTATTTCCTATGCAAAGAATTATGATTTATTTTGTACATATGTTAGATCTCATCTTGTACACATAATTTTGTAGCCTAATTTTTTCACTTAACATTCTATTGCAAGCAATTCCCACATTCTTAAATACTCTTAGAGAATAACATTTTTAATGGCTGAAAAACATTTCACCATTATAGATAGGCCACAATTATTTCAACTATTTCCCTACTGCTGTAAATTTAGGTCACATCCATTCTTTTGCTCTCCACATGGCAATGCACATTCAAGTACATAAATCTATCTGCTATGATTACTTCTTTATGATAAATTTCTAAACTATAAAAATTGGAATCAAGATCATCCATTATTTTAGTATTCTTGCCACATATTGCTTAATTTCTCTAGAAATACAAAAACTACTTATTACACACTAAATAATAAATATTTATCAATCAATCAAATGAATAAACAAATTATTTTTAGATTCCTCATAAAACCCTTGCTAAAAGTTGCCATACTTGAACCATAAGAAGCTAAATAGTCTTTGTGGAAGTAGACAAACACTTGGATTGGAGGAACCAGTAATATCACTGAAAATGCAGATCATGAATTATGTCAAGAGTTGAGTTATATATGTCATCTGATGGAAAGCTGTATAGCCAAAATAATGTTGCAGAAGTGAAGTTATAGTACTCTCCCCTTATCTGCAGGGGACACATCTCAAGACCCCAAGTGGGTGCCTGAAACTGCATATAGAACTAAACCTGATATTCACTATGCTTTACCCTATACATGCATAGGTATGATAAAATTTAATTCATAAATTAGGCACAGTAAGAAATTAATAACAACAGCTAATAATAAAATAGAGCAATCATAATAATGTTCTGCAATAAAAGTTATGTGAATGTGCTCTCTCTTTCCCCTCTTGCTCTCAAAATATCTTATCGTACTATATTCACCCTTATTCTTGTGAGGTCTATGTGATTAAATGAAACAATGTCTATGTGATAAAATGATACAATGTCTATGTGAGGAAATGAAATGATGCAGCATTAGGCTAGTAATTAATGGTTACCTATACAACAGTAGTTCTGATAACTGAGACAGCTACTAAGTGACTAACAGGTGGGTAGTATATACAGCATGGATGCACTGGACAAAGGAATAATTTGAATCCTGGGTGGGCTGGAGAGGGAACACACAAGATTTCATCATGCTATTTATAATCATAGATAATTTAAAATTTATGAATTATTTATTTCTGGAATTTCTCATTTACCATTTTCACACTTTGACACTGATCTCAGGAACTGAAAGCAAACTACAGGTATGTGAGGACTACCCTAAAGTCAAGACAGTTTTTAAAATCACCCAAAAAACTAAAAAATCCTTTTGTAGACCCAATATCAATTTGTTTGAAGATAAATGTATCCCAGAGTTACATTTGTAATTACAAATACATAGACAGCATGCTAATTATTCCCTTAATGATTTGGCTATTAAGAGTCTAGGAGTGATAACAAAATCAATATACCATAATCCCAGTTTACAACACAAAATCATTTTAGGATATAAATGGTGAAAGGATGGCATATCAGAGTGGTTTGGCTTTATGTTAAGGAATTATATCAGCTCATTGCCTTCCAAACAATTCTAGTGAAAAATCAATCTCTTCCCAATGCTGTATTTTTTTCTTTAAGATTCTTTCTCTCTGAATCAAATAGGTCGGGAATTAAACCTTGCTGTCTCTGCAGTGCCTTGTGTATAATGACAAACACAAATGAGATGAGCTGCCTGTCATAGTTGTGCTGATGGCCTCAGACATTACAACTAACTTTCTACTTTAGGAGTCCAAGAGAAAACAAGACCCTGAACTGATTTTGTGGGTACAGTGGAGAGTTAGATGGAGCATGCATTTGTTTTATGCCTGAGGATTACGTAGGAAAGACAGACAAAACTCTTAAATAAAAAGGTGTGCTGGTGTTAGCAATTTATTTCAGTTATTTGTTGGATGTCATGAGAAAAAAAGTTATAAAACAAACAGTAATTTGGTGACTGTTTCTCCTACCATAATTAATTCATAACTGTAAATTATACACATTATTATTTTATAAAGCCTTTCGAAAGCAAGTAGAGTAAAGGAAAAACAGCTTGGCTGCCCCTAGGATAATTTTGCTTTGATGCCAGTTGAATAAAAGGAGAACCATCTGAGAGATTCATAACATGATCAATTGAGGCCTGGATGAAGGCATGGATAGTATCAGGGAGGGTGGCTATGTACAGCGTCACACTAACAGGGCAGCCAAGAGAACCGAGCATATGTGGACAGCAGTTGAACAGCAAGATAGAGTACATGAGCTCAGGAATGCCCTGGGTAAACACTGAGAAAGAAGAATTTCCTGAAGGGTAGTATAAATCCAATCAGTAACATTCAGTTTTTGATAGTTTCATAAATTTAAAACACTATTTGCTGAAAAGGACAGTCACAGTCATTGTGAGATCACATCACATCCAGTACAGGACAGCACAGCAAAAGCTACAGTGTATAGACAGGAACAACTCCTAGCAGGGCCATGAGACCAGCTGTCTCAGGAGCCAACCCCCACTGTCCTGCCACAGAGCTTCTCTTGAAATCTTAACACTGTTGAGTCCTTTATGCACATCATCCTCACCGTACTGAGTTTTTTTGTTTTGTTTTGTTTTGTTTGTGGTGCTGGAGATTGAACCCAGGGCTTCGTGCATGCAAGACAAGCACTCTACCAACTGAGCTATATCCCCAGTCCCTATACTGAGTTTTTAGATCCAACACTAATAAGTCTCTTTATATTATTTTTTACCATGTTTCAGTCAACTTTTTTTGCTGTTATGACTAAAAGATCTGACCAGAACAATTTCAGGGGAGGAAAAGTTTATTTGGGGGCTCACAGTTTCAGAGGTCTAAATCCACAGACATCTGGTTCTATTCCTTGGGGCTCCAGGTGAGGCTGAACATCATGGCAGAAGAGTGTGGCAGAGGGAAGCAGTTCACATGATGATGAGAAAACAAAGAGAGAGAGATTCCATTCACCAGATACAAAATATTTACCCCAAAGCCATACCCCCCAATGCCCACCTTTTCAGCCATACCCTACCAACCTTCAGTTACCACTCAGTTAATCACATCAGGGGATCAATTCACTGATTGGGTTAAAGTTCTCATAACCCAATCATTTTACCTCTAAATCTTCTTGCATTGTCTCACACATGAGATTTGGGGGAGACAGCTCACATCCAAAATATAAATATCCCCACAAGCAAATTATTTCTTAATACTCTTTTCCAATTTCTCTCTTGAGGATAGCTTTCCTTCTACAACCAAGTGTCATCTTCATCCTAATTATGGGAAATAATAGGGGGATGTTAATTTTTACCTCGATATGAATAGTATAAGAAAAGCATTAGATCCAGGAGAAATGAGTACCAAGAGAGAAGATGTAAGCAATCACTTGACAGCACTGGGGGTATCCACTTTTATCCCTTTAAACAACTTCAAATACAAACCTGGAAAAGGGCAGGCACATTCCCATGAGTGTTTAAACATGGCTGGAATATTGCAAAATAAAATAAAGCTGATTATCATTGATGAGCACACATGCTATTTACCTTTGGCAAGCCTTTTTCTGAACTTGAACAATGGATTTCCAATATTCCACCACGGGGTTGATTCATAAAAATTTCAGAGATTCTGGATCACAAGTGCAGTGTCCACTCAAAAATTTTAGTCCTTTCTTCACAAATCAATGTGAAAGGCTGTTAAGGTGAGCACAGAGACACATGCTCAGTTTCATATTCCAGAATGGCATTTGTTGAACTTAACAGGTCGGAGAGAATATGAGGGGGATTGCATATTCTAGTAACAAATGTACATCTTCTCTATCACTGTCCTTCTAAATTGTATTATTATGTTCCCAACTAGAGTTTCTTAGTCTACCATAGTCACAGAATGCACAGTGATACAACCAGGGAATAAGACAACTGTATGCCTCTCCTATATGGATATTAAAGGAGCATACAATTAAAGACTACTAAGACTGTATCCATTATGAATTTTATTTATCATGAACTACAAGATTTCTTTTCCTGGTCGTATAGTAAGTCTGTTACCAACAACTTAAGTGGACAGCACAAGTCCAAGAACAGAGAGTGATGTTTATTTGAGTGCAAAGAGAAGAATCAGGTGTATGATCCAAAGAAAACTCCCAGAATGTGTGATTCCAAACGGAAAGGAAGGAGCATGTACGGCAGGGGTCTGAATGAGCAACTGGTTTCCTGCTACTCTCTTCTGGGCTAGAACTTTTTTATTGCCACTTCCCTTCAGTCCCATCAAAGCCTCTCTAGAATTCGCTCATCTCCATGTATTTCTTCTGTTGGGACTGGATGTAAGGACAGACAGAAACTTGAAAGGACACCCTCTCCTCCATAAATCACCAACTAGACAAAAATACAATCTATTCACCAGTTACTTCTCTTCTCAAAGGACTCTATTTACATGTTTTTATCAAGTATTACAAGGGGAAAGGCTTCAGGAAGTTGGCAAGCCTCAGTTACTGTCTCGTGGTTTTACTTTGGTTGAACAATGAGAATGAAAAGGTGACATATCCCCAAGAAGAATGCCAGGAGAAAACTACAAAACCTCTTTGTGAGGGTATTGTTCCTAAAAACACAAACATTGATCCGAAACTGCAAGGTTGCAGTTTGATTTAATAAGTTTACCACAGAATCACAAATACAACAAGTAATAAAAGAAAAGAACAAAGTTTCTACAAGAATGTGCTGAACATAAACAGCTCTTTCATTGTGCATAACCACAGTGAAATTTCATTATGATGGAATTTTTAAACTGCCTGTACTGCTGCTGTTCATCTCCTTCATGCTTTATCTAAGAATTACAGCAATTTGAACAATAAAAAAAATTATCCATTGTGATTTCTTAAGAAAGGTGCAGCTCTTTATTTCCAAAATGCTCGTTTATATAATGAATGACTTTGGGCTTGCAGGGATATGTTCACCTGATTATGTGACACAATTATAGGGCATGAATCTACCAGCAATGATTAAATCTTAGACACAGATCTGGAACAATTGCTCAAGCAGCATGCAAAAAATACTATGTGATTAAATTAGTATGGGATTGGTAACCAAAAATACTGTGTAAAAATCATTGTTTTGCCTTACATTTTTCTGAGAAAAACCAACATATCTTTCTTAGAAATCACAGAATCTCTTTAGAGAAAGAGATTAAAGACAATCTTTAATAGGATACTAATTTATATGGACTTGCCTAGGATTTTCCTGGCTTTATCACTAAAAATCCCAAATCTTACAAAATCCCTAAATCTTAGCTAAACTGGGATAGGTTGTCCCTGTACTCATTGGATTCACAAATCCCTTCACTGACATAACCTACATGAGACTTAGCTTTCTCAGGATTCTTTTCTACACCATGAGTCAAAATCAGTGTCCCTATAACCTATTCCTGTCCTGTCTTCTGTGACAAGATAAAAGTTTATTCCCTCTTCTATTTGGAAGCTCTGGGTTTCCAAAGATTGCCTTCCCATCTCACATTTCCCCAGTCCATTCTATATTCTCTAGGTTAAGTTGATTCTGTTCCTTCATTTGCTCCTTGAGTGTTCTTGTTGCACTCATAATCTCGGTACTCTCCACTGAGCAGACTCATCTGTCCAGATCCCTCCAAGAATGACATCCCAAACTGAACTCAAGCCTCTGCACATTGCCTGAGCAGTCTATGTAGCCCTGTCCTCTCTTGGGTGTCAAGTTCCCAGGTGGACAAACTGACATTCCTCCAGCTCATTTGGCCACTACATCCCCTTATTCAATAATAGCACTGTTCATGGAGAGCCACAGAGATTTTTTCACATGGTGTTATTCAAAGCCCATCCCATAGTTGTGCAACTGCTCTTTAGATTCAAATATTACACATTGACCCTTTAGAGTGAACTCATAATTCCAGCCCATGGTTCCAGCTTTGGATCATAATTCTATCACCCAAATTACTCACTCCAGTAACTTGCTTCCAGGTTCATGTAGCTCGCAAGTGTTTTCTACATGTCAACATCCGCAGTCATTCAAATCGTTGGCAGAAATGTTGACTAGGTCAGGGTGGAAAACCAAATGATTAATCAGTGCATTTCCTGCATAAAGGCAAGTATTCACATGGGTCCTTCATTTTGAAATATTCTCTAGGGTGTTCCCTTACAGATTTTAAAAGTTTAAATCAGGAAAGAAAGTAGAAATACACTGTAATTAATATGCCCTTCATTTTCAACCAGCAACTTTCTTCTCCCTTAGGGTTAGCCTACACCTTTAGTGAAAAAAAAAACATACAGAACTCTCACCAGGAGCCTGGAACCAAGCAGACAACGGAGTGTGAATCATTGCTGCAGTGTATCCTGTGTCCCTGGCTCCTCTCTCTCAGCACTTGTTAAGGTTGCCCTTGCCCAACCCTTTTGAAGTCAGGCCTGTCGCTTGGACCTGTACTAGTGAGTGACACACATGTGGAATGATGTGCTTTCTTCTTTTATTTGTTCTAATTAGTTATACACGACAATAAAACACATTTTGACACATCATACATAAATGGAGTACAACTTCTCATTCTTCTGGTTGTGTGAATGATACGCTTTTACACACTGACAGAAACTTCAAAAGCTGGCAGCAGAGTTCCTCATGCTTCCTCAGGGAAGCAGGTGTCAGGATGAAGCTTTCATCACCTTGGGTGCCTGAGAGAACACAATGATCAGAGTACCTTTGCTGACCCACATAGATAGGTAGGTGGAGAAGGAAATAAAGCCCCTGAGACTTGGGGTGCTTAATTACTGCTGTATGACTTTGCCTACCCTGAATGTCACACTTAGGATACAGAAGTAGAAAAAGACCTGGTTTCTTGTTTATAAGAAGCTTATAGTGGGAGCTGAGGATATAGCTCAGTTGGTACAGTGTTTGCCTACCATGCACAAGGCCCTGGGTTCAATTCCCAGCACCACCAAAAAAAAAAGAAGCTTAAAGTGTAGATGAGGAGAAAAATCATATTCATAAAATAAAAGTAAGGACTAAATTAACATAAAGCAAAAATCTAAATTACAAAGTAGAGATAAGTAGCAAATAGGATGTGATGCCAAGAGTGAGCCACTAAGACAAAACATTAAAAAAGAGTAAAGGGCTTATGGTTCTCAGAAGCATCTCATTTCCACTAAATAAAAGAAAGCTTAAAATTATAGAATTTATTAAAAAGTATTATAGGAAATGGTTCCACAAATATAGTGACTCCTCTTTTAAAACTGCAATAAAGGTGTGGGTTTAATTTATGGGGCCATTTTCCATGTATTTGATTTTAGCCTTTTCAACAGCCAGCATTAATAAGACCCTTAGTGTTTTTTAATCAACATATTATAGGTCCCTGTCCTTCAGAAATGGACAGATTTAACACTTCACTAAGACAGGGTAATCACTCTTTCCAGCAGTTTTACAGGAACCTCAACAATTTGGGTAATACAGATAAAATGGAGCTGATTTTAGTACTCACTCAAAATATGATTTACTTTATTTCACAGACATGTCCATCATTATAAGTACAAAGGTAAATATTGGCCTGAATACTCAATATCAATTAGGGTGGTATAACAAAAGTATGACTTGTTTATTTTTTAAATATATTCAGCCTCTCCTCTCCATGGATGGAGGAAGTTTTATATTAATTGGAATAGTCATTCACTCATTCAACAGAGATTAACCAAGGGATTGTACCAGATGTTGGCCATTCATCAGTGGGCAGAATAGTTCAACCAGTCCTCAGAGAACTTACCATCTAGAGGAATGTGTTAGTTAGCTTCCTGTCACTTGATCAAAATACCTGCAATAGTCAACTGATAAAGTTTATTTTGTCTCACAGTTTTGAAGTTGCCAGCCTTGTTCCTTTGGGCCTGTGATGACATAGCACATCATAGTGGGAGTGCATGGCAGAGCAAAATCACTTACCTCATGGCCAGGAAATGAAAGAGAAAAAGAAGAAGAGATTGAGAACTCAATGTGCCCTCCAGCAGCATGCCCTCAAAGACCCAAGGGCCTCCCACAAGTCCCTACCTCTCAAAGGCTCCACCACCTCCCAAAAGCCCCACCCTGGGGACCAATCCTTTAACAACACATGGACTCTGGGAACATTCAAGCTCCAAACTGTAGCATTCTGCCCCCATTTCCCAAAGAGCCATGTCCATCTCACAATATAAAAATGCCTTCATTCCATCCACCAAGGTTCCCAAAGTCTTAATTGTTCAGCTACTCAAAAATTCAAGACCAAAGCCTATTCTAAGACTCTATGCAAATACAGCTAGAAGCCCCTATAAAAATCAAAAAGAAAGTAACACACTCCCAAGGTACATTGGTGGACGGGCACAGAGTATACATTCCCATTTCAAGAGACAGGAACAGGGGAACTAGTCTACCACCTTTAACAGATCAGCCCAAAGTACCACCAAAACCTAACAACTAAATATTAAATCCTAAATCTCCTTTTCCAGCACCTGCAGCACACTATAGTGGAATGTGGGTTCTCACGCTTAGGCATCCTTGCCTCTTTGGTCTTTCTGGTTGTATCCCAAATGGCCATTTTTTCAGACTGACTTTGCACACTGCCTGTAACTTTACCTGATGGTCAATGCACATTGCCACTACGTCTACCCTTCTGGGTTTTTCACTGAAGCTTTGGCTTCATTCTCATAGCCCCATACTTTGCCCTGTCAGGGGCTGCTTGCAGGTATGCTCACCTCACAACACACTGCCTGGCCTTCCAAGTTTTCCTTTGAAATCTTGGTGGAAGCCTCCATGACTCCATAAGTCTTACATTCTACATGTCTGCAAAACCATCATCTGGTAGACAATGCCAAGGCCTGTGACCAGCATAAGCTATAACTGGGCTGCTTGAACCACCCCTGTAGTGGCTTCTGAGTGCCTTGCCAGATGACCTTAGGGAAAAAATCCAGGGTGAATAATTCCCTTAGGTGGTCCTAGGCAGGCAGTCCCAAGGTTCCTTGCTAAAGAAATAGAAAGTCTTTCAAACAAATCTGCATTTTTACACCTTCGAACCTAAGATTCCAGAGGTAGCCTTGCAGATTCCTGAGATGCCCCTGAGGCATCTTTCTTATTGTACCTTGGAAGGCACTTGGGTTTTTGGTTTCTTTTTCTGAAGACTAGAAATTGGACCCTCATGATGACACCTTTACATATGCTGCTTTTGGCCAAACTGCAACCTTTTCAGAAACCTTCTGCTCTGTTCCTGTTTGGTTCTGATTCCAACTATAAATTTACCTAACAGCAACCATACCCACACTGCTGCCTGAATGCTTTTACCTTGAAATTTCCTCCTTCAGATAAACTAGTCTACCACCTTTAAGCTCAGCCTCCCACAAAGTATAAGAACCTGGACAAAAATGCAATAAAAATCTTTGCAAAAGTGTTAACAAAGGGTGCCCCTAATAAGATGTCCAGTGAAGTTCTCATTTCTATTTGCAACCTCATCAGTATAGCCTTTATAGTCACATATATATCAGAGACAGGAACTTCTGGCCTAGTAACAATAGAAATAAAAACTAGTCAAGGTTTTCACATAGGCAAGGCTTTAGTTGGGGTGGGTGGGAGGGGTTATCTCAAGAAGAGGGGAGACAGCACTGAGAGACACATTAGATGATTCCCTAAATAAGGTAAGGGACAAGCCCTTTATTGGGTGTCATGGTTTAGATGTGAGATGTCCCCCAAAAGCTCATGTATAGACAATGAAAAAGTATTTAGAGATGAAATTATTGGGTTCTAGAGGTTCAACCTAACCAGTACATTAATCCCCTGATAGGAAATAACTTGGTGGTAACTATAAGCAAGTAGAGCCTGGTTGAAAGAGGTGGGTGTTGAGAGCCACAGCCGAAGGGGCCCCAGCAAACTTCCAGCTGTAGTGTGAGACTCTTCACTGCATTCCATACTATTCCAATAAATTCTTTCATTCTTTCTTCAGGACTTCTACAGCCCTCAGATATATTAAACATGGCTTTCACAGGAACCGATAAGGGTCGGGATTCTGTTATTGTTTTTGTTTTTATAGGGCTGCTGGCATATTCAGAGGCCTGATATGACTGCTGTTTTGCCATGGGTGCACTTCCAACAGACAGTTCATCCTCCTTCCTTCTGCTAATTGGCATAACAAGAGGAACAGCTACCACGGGTTGCTGTGGCATATGTCTACTTGTTCGCTTCTGAGGTTGATAGATGAGCCATGTATATAAGATTGGGTCAATATTCACAGCAAGTCCTTGTATACTACAAAGAAGTACAGCACCTTCTTCCAGAATAGGTCGTGGGATAACAAATGGAATTTCCTGAAGAGGTTCCATATATTTGTGACCAGCACTGATAATCTTAATTTGAGGCAAACAGAGGACAAGTGTTCCTGGCATGCTGGTTTGTCCATGGTACCAACTTCTTACAGTTCCAGGAATATCACCAGATACAACTGTACTTGGGGAAGGCAGGCTATCATTTGGAATGAAGACACAACAAGACTGAACTTCATGATATGGCAAAGGGCAATAATAAAATAGATATTGAAAAAAGCATCCTGGTTCTGTTGCAGATGTAAGAATAGCCAAACTGGAGTTTTGGATATCAGTTGTTATGGATTTGAGCCAAATCATCTTCTTTTTGGTCTGTAGAAATCGCTTTAGTTAATCTTTCTGGAATCCAAATCGGCTGCTGTTCTCCCTGTGGAAACACATAAACAGACCCCCGACTCCAGACAATCACTGGGTCAGGACCTTTCCATTGTCCTGTTAGAATATCCTTCCAAAGTACCTTGGGCTTATGCACATTTTTTGGACATATATGCCTTTCCGCAGCACTAAGTCCTGATGAATCCAAATTTAAAAAGTTTAGAGTAAAAAGGGTTATTTTAAGTTTATCTTTGGGGAATATATACCCCTTCCCAATTCCTTCTTTTTGCTTTAATAAGTACATTTTAATAGTTTGATGAGCTCTTTCAACTATGCCTTGTCCCTGTGGATTGTATGGGATTCCTGTTATATGAGTAATGCCAAATGTTGAGCAGAATTGTTTAAAAGAGGTGGGTCCCTCCCTGGGGGCATGCCTTTGGGGCTAATATTTTGTCCTGGTGAGGAGTGCTCTCTCTCATTCGGGCTTTCCCTATCTGCACTTTTAGGTATATATTTACTCTGCTATAACCTTCTGCCATGATGTTCAGCCTCACTTCGAGCCCTGAGAAATGGAGCCAACCATCTATGGATTGAGCCCTCTGAAACTATGAGACCCAAATAAACTTTTCCTTCTCTATGTTGTTCTTATGAGGTCTTTTCTTTTGGTCACAATAGCAAAAAAGCTGACTAAAACACTGGGTTACTGATTCATCATTATCTCAGTTCTGGTTTTGCTAGGTGGCTCTGGAGAAGTCCTTATCACTGGAGGAGACAATCTTCATTTTGTTTTATAGGA